AAGCCCCTCAAATAGTAAGTAAAGGTATTTTTCATGGAGAAGAAGACATGTTCCTGCCCCATTTGCTTCATGATCCCCCTCATGCTTGCTCCCCACCACTAGAGCACAGTAGGTGCTTTCCCAGTGGGAGAACAGAGACCAGAAGTGGCAGGAGAGGGTGGATTAAGTCCCAGGTCCTGGCTTTGTTCCAGCTCTGCTGGACCCTCCAAATGGCCCAGGACAGGCTAGATGACAAACCGGGGGCAGTGTGCCAGGTAGAGGAGAGAACTCAATTGTTGGAGACAATGCATTCCTAAGCCTCATTGGGTTGTCCCAGGGCTTTGTGTTTGCCTAAAGTTGAATAATATTTAGATCAATGGATGGAATCGGTCATTACATCATCATTGTATTATTCCATTTACAGTCTTCCCTGTCATGATCCTATTAACTCATTTAACATTGTTTTAAAATTTCCTATTATAGTTAATATTCAATATCACTTTATATTAGTTTCAGGTTTACAGCATAATGGTTAGACAATTATACAATATATCAAAGTGATCCCCCTTATAATTTAAGTACCCATTTAGCCTCATACATAGCTACCACAATATTATTGACTATATTCCCTATGCTGTACTTGTTTACAACCCTGTGACTATTTTGTATCAACCTATTTGTACATATTATTCCATTCACTTTTTCCACTCACCCCCCCATCCCCACTCTAATCAGGCAACCATCAATCTGTTCTCTGCATCTATGAGTCTGTTTCTATTTTGTTTGCTCATTTATTTTGTTCTTTAGATTCTACACAAAAGTGAAATCACATAGTAATTACATTCGTTTTTCAATAAGAATCCTGAGGGGACTTCCCCAAGGTCACAAAGCCAAACTAAGGCCAGACACAAGGCAGCACTACTTCTTCAGCTCCAACCCACTCAGCCGTGCAGCCCCTGACATCTCCATCCCTTTGATTCCTCACCCTTCCCTGTATTGCACTCACCACGTTCCCCACCCACCATCTTAAGCATCCCCTACCATCAGGCTTGTTCTTAGAGCACATTATTCAGACTCAAGAGCAAATAGTGGACAATGTAGATTTCCCGTGGGGAAATCATACATTTACAAGGGATCAGAGATGTAAGCTTATGAGTGCAAACCTTAGTGGTAGAACTGTAGGCATGAGCTACCAAGTAGGGAGTCCACTGCCTGTATTGTGGGCCAGAGGCCTGGCCACTTTGTCAGCTGCCTTCTCTCCTCCACACTGTCAGCTTCCAGGACCCCCCGCCACTCTTGCTATGTGAGTAGGCAACCTGGAAAGCATTACCTCACATCAGGAGGCTTAGGTTCCGGTAACAGATTGGACCAAGGTGCCATGCAGCTTTAGGCAATCCTTGCACCCTCTGGCCTCAGTTTCCCTCTCTCCCAGAAGAGGGAGCTGGATGAACTTTCAGATCCTTTTAGCATCGGATGTCTATTTCTTACAGAGGGAGCTGTCCTGTCCTTAGAGGTAGGGGCTCACACTTGCAGAGCACTTATTTTGTCTGGGCTGTGTTCTAAGAACTTCACATTTATTCCTCGGTCAATGATAACAAACTGTGAGGCACTGTCCCCATTTTATAATGGAAGAAACTGAGGCCCAGAGACTAATTCACTTGTTCAAGATTACCGGTCCCTGGTGGCATATAATATGTATCCCAGAAATTAGTGGTGCAAAACCACAACCACTTATTCTGTGGGTCAGGCATTTGGGGGAGGGCTCTGCTGAGCAGTTCTTGTTTGAATGTCTCTCATGCGCTGCCATCAGAACTGAACTGGGGCTGCCTCAAAGTGGGACATCCAAAATCACTCCTCACATGCCTCCTGCCAATGCTGGCTCTCGGCCTGCGGGTCAGCAGGGCTTCCTGTAGCCTCGCCAGCACAACCCTCTCAGGGCATTTGACTTATTCTACGGAGGCTGGCTTTCCACAGAGTGGGTAACCCAAATGAGCCACAAGGAAGCTGCAGGACACTCTCTGACCCAGCTTCAGAAGTTGGCATATCGCTTCTTTTGCATTCTACTGGTTATAAGCCAGTCACTAAGGGTGACCCAGTTTAAGGGACAGAGACACAGACTTCACGTTTCGATGGGTGGACAAAAAATGCGCACACGTGTTTTAAAACCACCACAGGGGTTCAGCTCCGAAGGCTGGCTCATTGTTGGTCTCTCAGACATTCCTTGTGGGTCTCCCAGGAGGGTTTTGGTAGAGGAGAGCCAGCTTCTGGTTTCAGTTTGCACAGGGTCCCTCTGGCCGCTGGGCGCAGATGTGCTGTAGGGGCCAAGGGCAGAAGCATGAAGACCAGAGAGGAGTTTGTTGTAAGACTCCTGGGGAGAAATGACAGGAGCTTATGGTGGGGGTGGAGGGATGTGGGAGGGGAGAGGGATGGAGAGAAGTTGTCAGATTCTGGATACATTTTGTGTGTAGAATTGATAGGAATTGCTGATGGATTGAATGTGGCAGGTGAGAGAAAAAAAGGAATCAGAGATGACTCCAAGATTTATGGCCTGAACAGTGGCAAGAAAATGTAGCTGCCAATTACTAAGATGGGGATGATGGGGGGTGGGGGGAAAGGGCTGTTGACTCATAATCATCAAACCAAGCTGCTTTCAAGCTAAGTCTGGTTCCTGGGAAGAGGAGAGGGATCAAGAGCATTTTACCTGTGCCAGACCCTGTGCTGTGTGCTTCACATGTTGGGTAGGCAGAATTGTAAGAATGACTCCAAAGATTCTGGCCCTGGTACAAGCCCCTCCTGTTTGAGTATGGGTAAAACCTCTGGATATAATGAGCTGTCACTACCGTGATTATGTCACATTGTATGACAAAGGGAGATTATCCTGGTAGACTTCATTTAATCACAAGAGCACTTGAAAAGTAAAAATTTCTCATGTTAGTAAGCAGAAATTAGGGAGAGTCAAAGGATGAGAAGTGTTTGAAATCCTGATGATGACCTTGAAAATCAAGAAGTCCATGTGCAAAGATCAGAGAGACACTTCTAGGAGCTGAGCGAGACTCCAGTCAAGAGGCAGCAGGGAAACAGGGACCTCAGTCCTACAGCCACAATGAGTCGAATATCCTCCAACAACCCGAGTGAGCTTGGAAATGGATTCTTCTCTAGAGCCTCCAGCTAAGAGCCCAGTCTGGCTGATGTCTCTTGAGCTCCAAACAAAGAATCCAGGTGAGCCTGCTCAGACATCTGACAGATGGAGTTGTAAGCTAAGGCATGGGTGTTATTTTTAAGCCTTGTAGTTTGTTATGCTGCAGTAGAAACTTACTTTACTTAATCCTCACAACCATCCAAAATAGTGGGTCCCATCCCCATTGTACAAATGAGGGAACTGGTAGGTGAGGTGCCACAGTTGGGATGGAAACTCTGGAATCTTACCAACTCACCAGGCTGCTTCATGGAGAGGGTGTCGGAACCACTGGCAGAGGTTAGGCTGGATGGGGACCTCAGCTCCTGGTCAAGGCCAGGGAATGGAATTCCAGTTTCTGATTGTGATTGTGTTCCTCTCAGGGGCTCTGAGTGGCTGAAGGTGTGTATGTGGGAGTGTCTGAGTGAGCTTGGGGGCGTGTGTTTCATTGTGTGTGAGTCTGAGCGTGTCTGTGCATCAGACTATATCTGTCACTACGAGTGACTAAGTCTGTGTGTAGCTATGTCTCCATGTGATTTTAGCCAAAAGGCCAAAAAGCAATATGGCTGTGTCTCAATGTGAGCATGTGTGTGCCCACTGCAGGGTGTCTGAGTGTGTCTCCCTCTGAGGGTCTGTGTCTTAGGGTGACTGTATGAGTCTGACAGTGTTTGCCAATGTTTGTGTGTACGTGTTAATCAGTGGTGAGCAAGCCATCACTGGGGGAGGCGCTGAGTATGTCTGTGCAGGTCTGAATCTATGAGAGCACATGTGTGTGAATTCTAGGGTGTCTGGGAGTAGGGTGGTGGGTACATGCGAGTGTGTGTGCCTGGTTGAACTTCTCTGTGGGTTTGTGTGAGATCTGAGGGTCTTACTGTGTGGCCAATGGTGTCTATGCTTGTTGCTGTGTGTGTGTCTGCAAGTCTCTGGATGTGAGTCTGTACTCACGTGTGTCTACTGTGTGGGTCTAGGGTGTCTGTGGGTGAATCTAACTGTGTGGGTCTCCTGGTATCTGGAGTTTGTCTCTGGTTGTGTTTCTCTAAGTGGGGACATCTGGGTGAATCTCTCAGGTGTGCGTCTGAGTCTGATGGTGGCTGGGATGGATTCTGCAAAGTGAATGCTCCTCCGTGGGTTCACGCGTGAACCTGAGGGTCCTGCATGCCGCGGGGCAGGGGGTCTAGGGCAGGGAGCCTTTGGAGGCAGCCAGGAAGAAGACTGAGAGTTGAAGAGATGAGGTCTGTGCGCCACCTCCAATGTGCCACTCCTCACACACAGTGTGTCCCTTCTGAGCGGGTCAGTGTCCCTGCGTGAGGCCTGTCTCATGGCTGACCGGACTCCCGCCTGCATAGGGCCAGCCTGAGGGGTTGGGCACGGCCTCGGGACCGGGTCACACACAGCCTGGCACCCGTCTCCCTTGGCTTGGCACACACCTGCCGGGCTCGGGGCGGCGGGCGAGAAGCCTCTCCCCGCTGTGCGCCCTCCCGGCTCCCACGCCCGGGCGCACGGCGCCCCTCTCGCGGGCGGCGCCCATTGGCTGCGCGCGGCTCCAGCCCGCCCCCCACAGCCGGCGGGGGGCGCCGCGGGCCAGAGCGCAGCGCCGCCGCCGCCGCCGCCGCCAGCACCGCCGCCGGAGCTCAGCGCGCCCGGGCTCCGTTCACCCCGGCCCGGCCGCCGCCGCCCGCCGCCCGCCGCCCGCCGCCCGCCGCCCGCCGCCCGCCGCCGAGCCCGCCGGCCCCGGGCCGCCGCCACCACGCCGCGCGCCGTACTCCGCGTCAAGAATGGGGCGGCCAAGCTGCCCAAGCCGCCCGCCGCCGCCGCCGCGGCCGAGGCGCCGGGCGCCGGGGCCGGCATGGAGCGCTCGCAGAGCCGCCTCAGCCTGTCCGCCTCCTTCGAGGCGCTCGCCATCTACTTCCCGTGTATGAACTCCTTCGACGATGAGGACGCGGGTAAGCGCGCCGTCCCCTCCCTTCCCGAATCCCCCAACCCTGACCCCCGGGGCTGTCTCCGGAGCCGGAGCCGGAGGCCCCCTCCCGGACCCGGTGCGTCTTTAGCGGCGGCTTCTCAGTCTACCCTCCCACCCCCCCCCCCCACCCCCGGCCCCGCTGGGGGATGCGCCCCGGTCCCCTTCCTCACCCTCGGCATCGCGGGGTCTCCAGAAGGCGGTGTCTCGCAGCCTCCGCCGCCCCCCGGGGACCCGCAGGTCCTCTGCGTTCTCCCCTTTCCCGCAGGTGGGCCCTGGAGGGCGCCCGCGCCCGCGCTCCTCACCCCCCTGCGCCTGCTGGGTGCCTCCTGGCTGGTCCCTGGATCGGACCTGCCACCCTTCCTGAACCTCTGGGTGCACCCGCTCCTTAAACCCAGGGGCTCTGGCTGCCTCACCCCTGGGGCTCCAGTGCGCCCCCCAGCCCCCGCCATTGGAGGTGGCGCACAGACCTCCACTCTCCATCTTCCCGGCTGCCTCGAAGGCTCCCTGCCCTGGACCCCCTGCCCTGCGGCCCAGGCCTTAGCGCCCATGTATCTCTCCTCCCCTTCTCCTAGAGGCGGGGTCTCGGGACTCCCGGTTTTATCAGCCTGGAGCGGACCCCCAGGGTGGAGTGAGGGGAACTGGCCGGATGACGGCCTATCCTCTCCTTTCCAGCCCGCTGGCTCCGGTGCAAGGGGGGCGGGGGGAGGTAGGGGGCGCCAACTCTGCACCTGTGCGCCCTCTGAGTGTGCCCTGCCCCCGGGTGCTCTTGAACCTGGGCACCATCCAGCGCCGAACCTCTGACACCCTGGCCTGTGCACAACCTTAGCTAGAGCCAGAGGGATGGGGTGGGGGAATGTAGGGGAAACCTGCTCTTTGGGGCTCTGGGGGAACGTGAGGGCTCTGAGTCAGGTTCTGCTCTGCGGAAGCGAATTCACCAACAGGTGGGGTAGCTGGAGGGCTTGGGTGAGCGCTCCCCAAAGAGTGCCACCTTGGGAGTAAGAATCAGGTCCCAGCCTTGCTTCTCTACGATTTCCTGTGACCTTGGTCAAGTCATGCACCCCCTAGCCTCAACGTCCTCATCTGAAAAATGGGATGGCAGTGCCTCAGACACAAGGGCGACGTGAAAAGTGTTTTGTAAATGGAAAATCAGAGATATTCAACCCGGGGTCAGAAGGGAAGAGGGGTGTATGTGGTGGTGAGGAGCAACATGGCTTCACGGACACTCCTGAGAACCCGATGAAAACAGTGGACTGTCTCTGATACACACGTGCACACCCACAGAATTTTGTCCTTAGTTTTAGGAAGTCCGTGGGCCCTCCTTAAGACTCCCTGCCTGCAGGGTCCTTGTCTAGTCAATCTGTATCTGATAACCATGGAATGGAGCTGAGAGTGATGAGGGTCACATCTTGTTGGAGTAGGAGGCAGGTAGGGAGAGGGAGAACACTTTGTTGGCTAAGTGAATGAATGAATGGGGGGTGGTGGGGGGCAGCAGTGAGGCAGACCCTTGGCAGACATGTCTTGCTGTTGACCTGGAGATGGGGGTGGGGTAAAGATGGTTACTGCAGAGCCGTTTTATAGAATCGCCATTTTACAGAAAAAAATAACGGAGGCTCAGGGGCTTAACTCCCCGCTTCAAGTAGCTGAGGTAAGATGTACTATTCTGGATAAGGTGAGGTGAGGAGGAATTGAGGGGCTCCCTAACACAGTGGCCTCCATTGGAACAAAATCAGAAGAAATCAGGTGAGCATGGAGGCTGGAGGAGGGAGCCCCACCAACCTAGGTGCGTTGGCTCCTCCACCCCTGACCTGATTGATGTTCAACAGGCCACTTGGGTCTCAGGAGCCAGGCTGGACAACAGCTTGGGTTTGTAGCAGCATCCATGGCAGGGACAGTTAGGGTTTTCTCCAAAGTCATGCTCCATGTCGTGGGTCAGATGACTTGGTGGTTGATGTTGGTTGCAAGTGACCCGTTCTGGTTTCACTGAAGTCAGAATAGGTAACTTTGTGTAACGTTAGCGAATTTTTTTAAAGGCCTACGTGATGTTTTTTCAAGCGAATTTCTTAAGGTTTTCACTTGGAAAAGATCTAGAAATCATCTTGTTCAAAACCCCTCCCCCCCAAATGCATGAGAGAGAGAGAATATATATGTGTGTGAGAGAGACTGAAGCCCCAGTTGTGTGTGTGTGTGTGTGTGTGTGTGTGTGTGTGTAACCCAAGGTCACCCAGTGAGGCAGGCACAGAAAACTGAGAGTAAAACCAGATTCTCTTTCCAGTAAACCACTAGCCCTCTCTCTGAAAGAAGATTTTAAAAAGCCAGATCTCACTGTGTGGAAAATGGTTCCCAGGCGAGGAGGCCCCAGGGAGCGGCTGACAGCCACGAGCTTGGTTTGAGCATATCGTGCTCACTGTCTGCTCATCGTAAGGGATGCTTCGGGTTTGGGAGGGGAAGAAAGTCAAGTTTCATTTCCGGAAGATTCACCAGCATCTGGTGAAGATGGGAAGTAGGGACCGTTGTCTTGGTGTTTAATTTCTCTTGTTCTCCTCAAAGTCATTAATTTTTTCCTAAAAAAAGCCTTTTGGATTTATTCTTTTAGAACAGCATCGCGCTGAACTAATTTCTAAAAGCAGCTTGAATAATCTCTCAGATACCGGACAGAGATTGCTTCAGGAGGACTGTCCGAACCCGGTTCACTCTATGTCCTCTTCTCCATTCCCTCCCAGGCCCCCGTCTGGCTCGTCTGGGTGCCTCCCCTTTTTGCTGGTTCTGACGCCTGTCGAAGGCACCTTTTCCATCAACCAGGTTGAGCCACAGCCATCCTCAGGGCTTACGTGCCACCCTTACCAGTTTCCTGAGAAACCGTGTGAGGAGGAGACTATTTTATTAGCCGTAACTGGGCCAGAGCACTCTCCTGCCTTAGGCTTGGGAGATTTGGACATTTTGTGGGCAAAGGAAGCTGTCCCTTCCTCCCACCCCTTTCTAGCCACCCTAGGGCTTGGGATGCTGGCCCTTGCAAATTCCTAGAATTCCTCTCAAGAAGCATCTTCCCTTGCACGCTTAGAACTCCTTTCTTACGCTGCTTTTGGCCCTTTTCACAAAGATGCTGGGTTTTAGGGAGGCGTCTACTTGGGGGCATTTTTGTGTCTCCATTGCTCAGCCTTCCTGGCACTGGGTTTGTAATTGGGGAGTTAGGCACGGGACCTTGGCTTTCTCGTCTGTATGAGGAAGAAAATGGAGCATGGGCCACATAAGGTCAACATTTAAAAAATGACTGCCTTTGACTAGGCATCCTCCTAGGCACTTTAAATATGTGATTTTAATCCTTTCCTTATAGCAGCCTTATAAAACGAACATTCAACACCCTAATTTTTTAGATGAGAAAAATCAAGGTACAGAGAGAGTATTCGTTCAAGGTCACTCAAGCAGGAAGTGAGGGAGTTAGGATTTGAACTTGAACAATCGACTCAAGGATCTGTGCTTCTAATGCTTATGCTGTTTGTGCTAGGCAGAGGGTTTAATGCAGTCAGTACCTGGCACCAGGTAGGCTGGCAATACCTGTTCGCTGTTATCTGTCCCATTACCAAGACTTGTTTATAGTGAAAAAGAATCTGTGGGCTTGGGGAAGGAGAAAACCTGATTCTCAAGAATGTTAGCTTTTGTAAATTTTTAATAAGCTAATTTCATTGCATTGTTACAGCAATTAAGGCAGAGTTGGGCCTTCCTTTCTTGGAACTGGTTTAAAGACGGGAATTTGGGGGACTGGCATGTGGAACAGGAGGGTGGGGAACAGTGCAGCTCCCTGTGTCCCTGTTCTTCCTGAACAGTTAATTTTCATCACATGTTTAGTCCTAGCCCTGCCACTCTGCTTCGGAGCACAGCTGGGGAGCAGGGGTGTCTCCAGTTTTCAGCAGATACCAAAGGGGGTTGTTACCTCAGGGTCTGGGCTGGAGGATGAGGTCCCTGAGCCTGACCAAGTGGTTTTGGCGTCCAGTTCTCCCCCCTCCCGCCCAGGAGAAGGGCGGAGAAGCTAGAGCAGCCAGCTCTGATTTGCCCAAAGGATCCAGCGCAGGGAGGAAGTTGCCATGGCAACACCGGCTGGCTACCGGTCCCTCTCCTAGCCATTCGGGCAGCATCTCTGGGCTGGAAAGCCCTTTATGGCACCTCCCTCTTTTTACTCGAGGTGGCATGGTGGGTGGGTCCCACAAACAAATACCAAAGCCTTCTCCCCTTCTCTTTAGGACAGACGGGAAATGGAAGGAGGTTGTCTGAGTTACTTCTCCTGGGTTGTGGGGCAGAGATACCCATAACGGACCAGACAGATCCTGGCAGGGGGACTCCGAGCTCCAACAACCCCCCCTCCCCCGCCCCCATTTACTCCACTTGGCAGAGTTCTCTTTCCCAGACCAAGTGCTAACTTTTGTCCTTGAAATTTGACCTGAGCTTTTTCTGGGAAACAAAATGTCCTGCTGGGGACAGAGTGCTTCAGCCCTAGAAGGGGGGCTGGACGGGTGAGGAGGAGGTCTTAAAATATCCTTTGGGGTCAAGGCCACTTGAGGGCATGAAGTTAAAGTTGTGAAGCCTCCATTCCCACCTTCATCCCAAGGGTGGGCAACTCCTGCCCCCTGCCCCCTCCCCCAGTTTACCACCTAGTGCCGTGGTCTCCTCTCTGTGTTGGGCATTGGGCAGAATTCGTCTAGATTTGGATAACTGAGGCATGGTAAAGAATTGAGCCAGTTATTCCCATGGTTCAAGCTGTGAGACTCCGCACCCAAAGTACTTTATCTCACTCCAATTACTCTGAAAGAAGTCCCTCAGAAACATCAGGTGCCTGGGATTCATCCCTTGCCCCATTCCATGGATCACTGGTATAAGCATCTGCTCTGATGCTTAGAGCTCATATATATATAAGCTAGAGCAGCCAGCTCTAGCATATATATATATATATATATATATATATATATATATATGTTTTTTAAAATATATTTT